GCTGACCACGCACAAAAGCAAGGGCAATTATTTTTATACACATACCCATGGGAAAAAACTTTTTGAAGTGCTAAGACATTCCCCCCAAAAATTAGTATCTAGACTCTTACAGTCATCCACATGTCAGGAAATACCAGTTATAGTAGCTCATTTACTTATGGTTAATTTCTATTTCCACCTAAGAATACTGAAGCCTGTTTCAATCACACAATTTAGTAATTACATAAGTAATGTGACAGAATGTATCTTGTGACATCCACAATTAGTGGTATCCCCACATTATTGCCAAGGCTCTATAAACTCTCAAATGACATTCCCTTTATGAAGGACACTTCTTGAACATGTCACCAGTCATTCCCAAGTTAAGTTTGAACTATAAACACTAGTCTTCCTGTAAGCATACCAAGAGAAGCACAATTGTCAAATTTAGATTTTGTTCATCTCTGTAGCACACCCAATAGTATAAACACAAACCTGAAGTTTGTTTCTGCAGCAGAATCTGTTGACAGTTCTTGAAATACTTGGATTCATTTATTAAAGTAGAAGAACAGACACAGGTATTTAAAATAATTTAACATTTTACCATGGTTTTAAACAACACATGTAGTTCTGAATTTATGCATTAGAATGAGAGAATGAAAAGGTAATATATTTGTCCATTCACACTTTGAACAGCCTCAAAGCTGTTCAAGTCATTTTAACAATACATTTTCACTCAAAAGCTGTATCTCCCTTAAATAGTGAAAAACCAAATTTAAAGCCAAGGTAGTATTGTGCTGCTAAAACACCCTCTCACCCTGAAACACTTAAGAGTTTATAGATGGCAGCAAGTCAGAGGTCTGACCTCTCCAGCTGCAGCGCACAGGGAGCCATGCAGGCGCAGCCTCAGGAAAGGGGCTGAGCATCCCTGGGGAGAAGCAGAGGTTCATGCAGGAGTTGCCACAGCAGCAACTCAGCAGCTGGTGGTGTACTTGTATAAGACATCAAAACAACAATCCAAGTTTGAGATTTTCCTTCCCAAGGGAGTATCTGGCTCCTAACCACAGCTGCAGACCTCTCATGTTCCCACCCCACCACTGGTGCTTCTTCACTCTCACTCCTTCCCACAGTGAGCGCCACTGCATAGGCCATACCCATAACACTTTGGGTATGGACAGACCTATAAAACCTGACCAATAAGAATTTCCTTTTTAATTTCTCTTCCTGACTGGATAGCTGAATTGGCTTCTCAAGGCCAGGCAAGCAGCAGCCCGTGCAGAGCAAGGGAAGAGAGGGCAGGGCTGGAGGAGTGGCAGCCACTGCCTGACTATTAGCATGGACATGCTAAATCATGTACTTAAAGCCTCTGTGAATGCAATTGTTACTGAAGGGACAACAAATAAATTCAAAATTAATACAGAAAATGAAAAGTAAGTTAAAACATCAATTGTAATGCAGCAGTGCAGATACAGTTAAAGGTTAACAGAAGATAGCTTTCCTTGGCAATTCATGCACGTATTGTATATGGCTGATTTCACCACTTCCTCTGTACTGCCACTTTTCCTTTCTTATTTGAACTTAAAAACAGGAAAATAGTTATGAAGTCACAGGAATTACCACAGGATAAGGGTGAGGGTTGTAGTCTAGAAGACTAAGCTTGCTTTTGTGCTTAGCCCACAGTTTGACATGTGTTTCCAACACCACTAGCACATATACAGCTGTCTAACAGCAGAAAAACCCCACACAGCATGGCATCATTGCCAGCCACTCTGTTCGCTGCCATCAAGTACTCTGGATGTCAAGGGAGTTTCCATCTGATATTAAGCTAGTGCAACAGTAGCTCATCCAAGGTAAATACTGGGGTTTTAGAATTTTTAATTTCAGAAGAATCTTGGTAAAGGTAGTTGAGCATAGAAATTCCCTGGACAAACCCTGACAGCTGAAATGTGAAGGTATTATCAGAGCCAACTATTGACAGTTCCAAGATAACGCTCACAACAAACAGGTTTGAGCTCAGGCAGAGTTTTGTGAGAGATTCCTGC